GTCTGGGCCTCCCTTCTGAAGCTGCTGCCCCCGCGACCCGACCCCGGATAGGCGGAAGAAAATGGATGGATGGATGGATGGATAATGGGTTAAATAAATATTTTAATTTTTTAATATTCTTTTCTTATTTCATAGCCAATGCTCTCTTGCTCTTTCCACACCAAAATGAAAAAATAATTGTGCTTTTCTTAGCTTGAAAGTTATCCAGCTGTCGAGAAGAATGTGACACAAGAGAAACTATAAAACTATTTCACATTTAAAGTATTACCTTTGGGGCAGATAAAATATTAACGAGGGCTAGATTTGGCCGAGTGGTTTGAGAGAAATTTTGCTAACAGACAGATAAAATTTTAATGCTAGTATTAATATATTAATAAAAAAGGATGTTGATATAACTTCTGCTCTGAATTAAAGATCAATAAAGAATCCATCCATTCATCCAGACTGCCTCCATTTAGGAAATGACAAAATTAATGGTTTAAGACTTGAACTTATATAGAGCCTTATCAAGTCCAATCATTCACACACTGATGGTGGTAAGTAACCACAGCTGCCCTGTGACACACTGGCAGAGGTGGGGCCGCCATGCACAGGCGCCACTGCACCCTCTGACCATCATCAGTAGGCAAGGTGGTTGAAGTGTCTTGCCCAGTGACACAACAAGAAGCAGCTGGAATGGGGAATCGAACCGGCAACCTACCAGTTACAGGTCCCCTAACCACTCCACCACATTATTACTGCCCAAAAATAAGAAAATAGATATTACAGAATATGCTCAGAATATGTGTTGTGGATCAGTCTCAGATAGAACTGCGCCATATCATGTCAACATGTTATTGACAGAGTTAAAGCCATTTTTGTGTTTTTGTGTGTTTTTCTAAAAATAAAAATATAGCTCAGTTGACTGTGGTCGCCATCTTGAATAGGCTGACTCCAAAAGTTAGTTGTAGAGCTATAAAGAGCTATAGAGCTATTTGAGTATTTAATAAAAATTTGTCAAGTGGTTCATGAGATATTTTGCTAACAGACAGGACACCAACAAACAGACTTTGGCAAAACCACTACTGTTCACTTTTGCCTTTTAGGCGGTTGCTTGTGTGATTCTGCAGTATTTGTCACCTGTATCATCAAAAAGAAGACGAAACAAACCAAATGTGTTTCTTTCTGAAATGCCAGTTTTATATACTGTATAAGTGTTATTCTGTAGAATAACATTTGTTGTTACATCTCAGTTAAAAGTGACGTTAAGGATAAGAGTTCATAATAAAATATGTTGTTTTGTAGATGGCTGTCGTACGTCCTGCTGCTGCTGCTCGACCTCATCGTGTGTCTCTTCATCCTGCTGGGACTGGCCAAACAGGCCCGCTGGCTGCTCATCCTGTGAGTCAAACCCAGCACAGAAACCATCACACATCACGCAGCGCCAATTCGATGGTCAGTGCGTCCTGTGGGCTCATTTTGCCCCTCCTTCTCCTTACAGGATGACCGTGCTGGCATGGCTGTTCCTCTTCCTGAGCTGGGGCTCCCTAGGTTTGGAAACGGCCACTGTGGTGGTGAGTAGATCCAGAACAACCCGCTGCCATAACGACTCGGAGGCCGGGGACATGAATGAGACCGTCAGAGGGTAGTGGAGAGATGACAGCTTTAGATGTTTGACCCCTGATGGGAGCCCAGTGTGTGTGTGTGTGTGTGTGTGTGTGTGTGTGTGTGTGTGTG